TGACTTGTGGGATCTCATGAAAGAATCTAAAAGACCCACCCCGCAACCCCATCCCCTTGGTGGTTGCAGACCATACTTTGAAAACTGCTGGCCTAATGTTTGTCAAGGGGGTGTATCAAGCAAACAGAAATCAGCTCACTGGAAAGCCATGCCTGGAGCAGCCACATGGCTTTTTGATCACAGAGATTTCTTTCAGCTGCAAAGACAGGGGCTCCCTACCTGGGGAGACAATGGATTTAAGGAGACAGTTAATAATCTTTAAACAGAGTTAAATAATTTGCCTATAACTTACATCTTCTTCTTATGGAATAACACAAAATAAGTTTCTGCCTACAGTGGAAACTATTTTATAGGTCTCCAAAAATCCAACACTTTCTTTGCTCTCTAGGTTAATTTCTGATTTGTTCCTCATTTACAGAACCCTCTGATTTAGCCGCATCCCAACCACCTCCCTCTTATAATGGCTCCAGTTTTTTAAGTCCTCCTTAAAACAAAGCTTTCTAAAATGAGCACACCACTCCAGATATCTCTGATGAAGATAAAGAGAACTGAAACTATTAATTATCCTGATCTGGGCACAATCCTTCTATAAGACAGACTCGGTATCATGTTAGCTTTTTTAGTCACATACAAAATGTCCAGCTCTTTTCCGCTCACAGTACTGACAAGCCCTATTTCTCCCTTCAATATCTGCCGATCTAATTTTTTAAAACATCAATGCAGGGCTTCACATCTATTCCTTTTAAATTTTGCCCAGCTTCTGACATACATAGACTAATGATAATCTTTTGGAAACTTGGGTCTACCATAAATACTCGATGTCCCTCTCAGCTTTATTTTTTTAAAATCAACTTTATGAAGGTTTCATAAGTGTGACTTCTTTCTCATTGTCTAAGACTGCTGTTGTTATTGGTTCTAATCAGCAAGTGTTGAATAAGACAAAACCACAGGTAGAACCCAGTGACCCAGAACTGCAGTTCATCATTTTGGTTCAAACAACTCAAATAAGTTAAAATTCTACATAACTGCTTATTTTTAGTTAATGGCTTAAAAAAGAACCCAAGAGTTCTTTTGTAAAACGAAAGAATCACATTTCCAGATTTAAAAAATTCAACCAGATAAGAACACTAGCTTATGATTCACCCCCCAACCAGCTACACTGAGAAAGGCCATATCAAACTGTCATTGCATTATTCCAGGTAGCCTGCAATGTCACTGCCACAGAGGTTTTTTTGGCCATACATCCCAGACTATCTGAAAGGACTACCTCTTCCAAGTTGCACTCTCTAGAAATGAGAAACTTCCTGTTTTCTGTAAATGGTTACAGAAAATACAAGTACATTTTATGTAATTTAAGTCTCTTTCTATTCCACATTACTTACTTCAGCAGGAATGCTAAAAGTATCTACCTCCAGGCAACACAACATAGTGGAAAGCTTTGAAGGCAAAAAGTCCTGGAGTCCTAGCTTCACCACTTAAAAATGAGTGACCTTACGCTTTCACTTTGCATGTGCATGATTCTGAATCTGTCATTTGTTGGAATCTCAGCATACTCAGAAAATTGCATATATCAGAGCATTACTGTGAAGAATAACCGAGACTATGTATACGAAAATAGCCTCATAACCTGTCTGATACAACTAAAGTCTTCAATACACAGTAGTTCCCATGCTTCCTGCCACAGTGTCTTGCAAGGAGTACAAACTCCGACATTGTAGCATTATGCTCCCTTCCAAATCATTTAAGACAAAAAACAAGTACTATTCTGTGTTCTACAACAGACAAAAACTGTCACTCACAGTCCGGGAGCTAAGAAGTATCACAGAAGATAATACATACTATGAAATAGCTGAGATCAGAAAATATACCTTGCTCATTTTTGGATACAAGCGCATGGCACACCACAAGAACTCAGGAAGAAAAAAAAAGAAGTCTGCCAAATTGGTGATTCTATATTATCAACCTAAAAAAACTATCACTCATGGAAAAAAAGACATAAAGTATAGGTTCAAGAATAAAATATTTTCAATAAAAAACTCTCACGTTTTAAAAATGACATTGAGACTTTAAAATAAAAACTTCAATGGCTAAATATAACTTGACCAGGTATGGCACTGTGGGTTTTCTTCAAATGAAACTATCGCATGTATCAATAAAACCACTACAGAGACAAACTCAAGAAATTATGTCCCAGTGATCCAGAGACAAAAGGACATAGACATGACTTATTGTATTTTAATATATTTTAATAAGGCATAGGGCTGTCTTATTTTAAGATGGTAGAATACAAATCAATAAAACAAGCACTTTAAATATAGTATAATAAAAATGTGTTATAATGAAAAATAATTGTACATTTTCGCTTTATAGTTCTATTACACTTGTTTTCTTCTTTCCTTAAAACAGTGGTAAAAGCATTTCAATCTAAGATGTTTAACATACTATAATTCCTTTCCTCAACTGTCTTATAGAGCAGGCATTTGCTGGGTAACAAAACAGAGAAATATGAGATGCAGTAAAACTGACGAATATTTTCTAAAATTTTGTGCAACAAGTGACAAAATATCATCCATTGGACCAATTTTGTTTTCATTTGCACCTCACCAAAGTAATAAAATTCACTTTCACACTATACTATCACATAAGTTGCCTTAATTTACAAGGAATCAGGGGGACAAAGGACTACCTATATAGAAGGTTGGCTGGGTAAATATTCTCATGTTACACCATAAAGGGGAAACAGAAGAATGAAAAAGGCAGTATAACCCAGTGCAAACATGTATATTAAATGTGAGCTTTGGGAGGCCAAGGCAAGAGGACTGCTTGAGGCCAGGAATTTGAGACCAGCTTGGGCAACATAACAAGACCCCCTCAATCTCCACAAAAAATTAAAAATTAGCCCAGGGTGGTGGCACTGTAGTCCCAGCTACTTGGAAGGCTGAGGCAGGAGTATTGCTTGAATCCAGGAGTCAAAGGCTGCAATGAGTTATGATCTTGCCACGGCACTCCAGCCTGAGTTACAAAGCAAGACCTTGTGTGTCTATTTGCATTTTAATCAAAGAAAATAAAAGTAAAAACTCAAAACCTTAACCCCAAATTTTCAGGCAAAAGTTAACGTAAAGATGAAGGTTTCTTAGTGACTAAGCAGAGAAGGTACCAGTCACAACGGTTCAAATTAGAAGCCATCACATAATATGAGATGTAAGGCCTCTTTTAGATAGGTAAGATGAACAAATTAAAAGAAATTCACTTTAATTGACCAATGGTAAATGATAATTCTAAGATGTAAAACCTCCTGTAAGAGTAATAGGTAGAGAGACATTGGTTCATTTAAATGATTAAAACTATCCTTATCATGTTAAAGCTAGAGCTACGTCTAAAGAGAACTAGATACAATATTTACAAACTCATTTTTTTGTTGTTGTTTTTTGTTTTTTGAGACGGAGTTTCGCTCTTGTTGCCCAGGCTGGAGTGCAATGACACAATCTCAGCTCACCACAACCTCCACCTGTCGGATTCAAGCCATTCTCCTGCCTTAACCTTCTGAGTAGGTGGGATTACAGGCATGGGCCACCATGCTCGGCTAATTTTGTATTTTTAGAAGACACAGGGTTTCTCCATGTTGGTCAGCCTGATCTCGAACTCCTGACCTCAAGTGATCAGCCCACCTCGGGTCTCCCAAAGTGCTGAGATTACAGGCATGAGCCACAGTGCCCGCCCCCTCCCCCACCATTTTTTTTAAACTGGGAAAAACAAAAACGGTTTGGCTAAAGGAACCTAAGGTCAAAGCATATGTAACTATTCAATTTTGCTAATAGATAGGTCCCACCATGACTAAGTTTCTCCAATCCAGATTTTGGTTAAAATATTGACGCCTATGGGATAACTCTATGGGATAGTTACTAGCTACTAATACCTATCTGAACAGATTACAAATTTAGCTTCTAGAGTTTTCTAAGTGAATGTCAGTCTATCACATAAGATAAAATCCAAGTGTAAACACTTGTACGTATGAAAACACAGCCAAGCACAATGGTTCACGCCTGTTATCCCAACATTTTGGCAGGCCACCACAGTGATCACTTAAGCCCAGGAGTTGGAGACCAACGTGGGCAACATAGCACAGTGGGACCTCATCTCTTCAGAAAACTAAAAATTAGGCAGGAGCAGTGATGCAAGCCTGCAGTCTTAGAAGGCTGAGGCAGGAGGATCATTTGAGCCCAGGAGTTCAAGATTGCAGTAAGCCATGATCACGCCACTGCACTCCAGCCTGAGCAACAGAGGGAGATCTTATCTCCAAAAAAAAAAAAAAAAAGAAAATACATAAATATATTCGCATAGAAAAAAAAGAAAGAAAATACATAAATATATTCACATAGAAAGATGTCAGCTATGGCCTCTGCCAGAAAATAATAAAAAGAGTATTAAGACTCCATAGACTTTATATACTTGATTCCCAAGACCACCAGAACCTTCCCACCAAGTGTTAACATTTATCTCACGTAAGATTTGAGTTATGATTAAATTCCATTTGAAATAACTTCAATATACAACAACAAACATTTCCTGAGTCCCCACTATGTGAAGTTTTTTATAAAGGTATAATCACTCCACAGGAGAAACGCACCCACAGTGGCTCACATCTGTAACCTCAGAATTTTCGGAGGCCAAGGCAAAAGGATCACTTAAGCTCAAGACCAGCCTGGGCAAAATAGTAACAACTTATCTCTACTAAAAATAAAAAAATAAAAAAATTAGTCAGGCATGGTGGCGCAAACCTGTAGTCCCAGCTACTTGGGAGGCTGAGGCTGGAGGAGCACTTAAGCCCGGGAAACAGAGACTGCAGTGAGCTGTGACCATGCCACTGCACGCTAGCCTGGGTGACAGAGGCAAGACTCTGTCTCCAAAAAACAAATACTCTAGGAAGGCATTTCAAAGTCAAACAGGGGTGTCAGATAATGGGGACATTCAAGTAGGATCAGCAAATAACCTTTTTTTTAAAGGTTACAAGAGAAGAGCAGAAAGAAAAAAAGAGAAGGGGGGAGAACCAAAGAGACAAGGGCAAAGTCTTATATACAATCCTACGTGGATGGATATGGCCATTCTCCATGGGAAAATGCCTCATTAGATAATTAGTAGTTGTTTGCCCAAATACAGCTGCTATATTCTGAGCCTGTGAACATGTCTATTAAAAGGAGTGTAAGTAAGTACCTGAAAGGATGGTAAAAGATTCCAATGACATATAAATAACACCAGTAAGATGCTGGTCATATCTCATACATGTGAATTTCCTTTATTTATCTCTACAATCCAAATGACTTACTTTGTGGCTTTCTGCATTTCAAATTGTTACAATTAATTTATTTCACTTTAATGGCTGTGGTTGGACGGCACTGTCTTGGTACTGCTGGCATCCAATGGCAGCAGCCAGAGATGCTGCTAAACATCCTACAATGCACAGGGCAGACAGCTACACAAACAACATCCAGCCTAACTATCAATTCAGGCTAAGCATTCCTAATACAAAAATCTGAAATCCAAAGTGCTCCAAAACCTAAAACTTTTTCAATGCCAACATGATGTCACAAGCAAAAAAGTCTATACTTGACCTCTTGTGACAGGCTGCAGTAAAAATGCGGTCAAAACTGTTTCATGCATACAATTATTTAAAATGTTGCATAAAATTTACTTCAGGTTGTATGAGTAAGGTATACGTGAAACATAAATTTCATGTTTAGACTTGAGTTCCATCCCCAAGATATCTCTCATTATGTATATGCAAATATTCCAAAACCTGAAAAAATCCAAAGTCCCAAACACTTCTAGTCCCAAGCGTTTCAAGTAAGGGACACTTAACTTACGGTCCCAACATGAAGAAAGTCTGGCAGAGATAAGTATTTACGCTGTTATCTACAGTAAGTTCCTCCAGATCTACACCAGGTCCCTCCCCCTCTCAACTACTAAAGGACACAGGTACCGCAATTCTAACTGCTCACTACTCCATCTACTTGTCTACAAAAAAATGCAGAATCTTGATTAAGTGGTTTCAACAGATTTTTATTTAAAGTGATATACATTCTAAGATATCTAAAGGGCTAATCACAGTTTTAACAGTTCTTCATTACTATATAATTACACTGTTTATATGTGAAATAAATTTCTGAGGAACCTGAAAATGAGTTATTTCTTAAACAGAAAACAAGTCACCTCAAAATTTAACCTGTACATACCATTTACAAATCATCTTTAAAAAAAAAGAAAAAAGTTGTCAATCCAAAGTTTAAAAAGAAACTATTACCATTCGGGCATTTAATCTTCTATTCAACAACACACAGGACACTGCTAAACCTAAACTTTCTTTGCATATCAGCCAACTGGAATCTGGTAGTGGCAAGTTACACAACAGGAATACACAACACTCTTTACTATCATCTCAATCATTTCTTTAAAGTGAAAAATGGGAGAAACCTTAAGGTTATATTTTTTCAGATTATGATACGATTTTGTTTAAAACTGGAGCATTACAAGAATCTCACAACAAAATTTTCTTTTGATTGCTTGCTTCAACATAATCCAACTTCCAATGTTGAGACCTAAAACTATACCGCAAACTGCTGTTTCCATAGTGAGGTCTGTTATACTCCACAGGTCCAACCACCTTTAACTATTCTCCACCTGCCTCGCGCCTTCTCCCTCTTTAAATTCTATTGCCGGTTATTATAATCACTTCTGCGCACATGCCCCCACCTCTCTTGTCCCTCCTCTCATTTAAATCCAGCTCACGCATCTATGCCTGAACCTGTGCTGCTGAATATGGTTAGAAAAAACCCAAACCCATTCAGGTCTTACTTTAATTAATAACCACAACTCAAGTGGGTTCTTGCCATTGTGCAGAAATCAAAACACACTTCCCTAAGCCCTTCACTCAGCCACTCTCCTCCATGCCTAACCATTTTCTTAGGCATTCTCCACGAACCTCTGGTACTTCTTTCCCTATCTTTGCTCTCAACTCATGACTTTCCTTCCTTTTTCAATGACAGAAACCAATGAAAGAGAAATTCCACATTCCGCATCTACCACCTATCAGCCTCTGCACTCCATGCTCCGGCTTTTCTCATATACTAGAGAAGATGCATCTTTGCTGTTTTGCCAATCCCCTACTTCTGTACTTTTTCCCATTTCCCACTTAAGAACATTGTTCTAGCAATTCTACTCTCTCTCTCTCTCTCTCCCTGACATGTCAATTTCTCACTTTCTACTATATCAATCCCAACACAAAACAAGTGAAAAATTAGAAAAGGTGACAAGCTTGGAGACCCAAAAAACACAATCTGGAAACTAATGGACTCTAACATATATCACATGTTTATTCTCCCCACCCCAAACTCCTAGCCGCAATTCAAGGACACCCCCACCCAACATCTTCCCTCCCACCTCCCCAACCTGAAGTTCCTGTAGGGCACTTTCAGAGCACTTTGATCACCCTAACATGCTGCTCTTCATGTACTACACAAAGGTATGCAGTTTATCTCCCCTCTTGATATTTTAAGCTACTTGAGGTTAAAGACTGTTTTAGCAACCACATAGCAGACAGGCAATGAATGTTAATCAAAGGAAAGAATGAATGTATTTTTGTATGTATTTCTTAGAGTTTACAAATTTGAAAAAGAAAATTACCAAAAACTGTTTAGAGAAAAGTTAATTTAAATGTACCAAAGCCAAATTTTACGAGGAGCAGATAGAAATTTGAAAACAACAGGATTCCAGACCTGACAGCAGTTTATAACAACTCCTCACCTGGGTCTAAAGTATTGGGAAATAAATTCACAGTGGTTAAAGGTACTCTGCAGATTATATCTGAGGCAAAACTTGAGTTTTACAAAAATCATGCTGTGGCCAAATAAATAATACAGTTTTCAACTGAAACATCACCTATGAGCAACTTCTTCAGTTTAGTGATACTCAAATATCAGACTTATCAGTTATACTTTAAAGGCAAATTTATAATATCAATCTGTAAAACTGAGTAAAGGTATGAAAATAGTATTACAAAACATATCAAAGTAAAATGACTAGTATTACCAAGAATGACATCTGATTTTAAAATACCAAATTTCAAATTTCTGAATATCTCCTTATAAAATCCTAAGCTGACAATTCTTAGCATCTATAAACAAACATGTATTTTGTACTGAGACCTTTAAACCAACTTTGCATCACAAGCAAAACCCTCTTTGAAGTGAAACATCATTTTTTGAAGACAAATATTTCTATAAGCTCACAATAGGTTTATTTTTAAAATTTTACAGAACTCAATAAAATTAGGTAGCACTGCATTTTTAGAGGCAAGGGAGAAAAAAATCAGATTATTTCCCTAAGTGAGTCATAAATTCTTGTGTAGAAAAAATGGTGTGTGTGGATGTGTGGGTGTGGGGATGTGTGTGTGTGTGTGTGTGTGTAAAATGAGATAAAGAAATACGTATGTATATATTTAGTGGCTTCCTTGACAAATAAATGACTGTCTTTGAGATAACTGGGTTACAATGAAATTCTGAGGTTTGTAACATTACACTTACTGGAAGCCGGCAAATCTCAAAACACAGTTTACAAACCACCATGCCAACTCCCCTAAGCCTCATTTAAGAAGGATTACCACCTACAATCTAACCTTACTGTGCCACTGTTTTAGTGGTGAATCCAACAAACTGATTAAACAAAAATGGGGTTTCAACGAATATACTATTCATTAGCTACAGAGAACACACTGAAGAAGGTTACTTAAGAAATGTAGAGCCCCTCCAGTAAATTTGCCACAATCTTTTGTTAAACCTTAAACTTTGGCCGGGCGCGGTGGCTCAAGCCTGTAATCCCAGCACTTTGGGAGGCCGAGGCAGGTGGATCACGAGGTCAAGAGATCGAGACCATCCTGGTCAACATGGTGAAACCCCGTCTCTACTAAAAATACAAAAAACATTAGCTGGGCATGGTGGCGCATGCCTGTAATCCCAGCTACTCAGGAGGTTGAGGCAGGAGAATTGCCTGAACCCAGGAGGCGGAGGTTGCAGTGAGCCGAGATCGCGCCATTGCACTCCAGCCTGGGTAGCAAGAGTGAAACTCCGTCCTCAAAAAAAAAAAAAAAAAAAAAAACCTTAAACTTTTAGGATAATTACAATCAGTCTGCAGTAAATTCAGTGAATCATATTTTATTGCAATATTAAATAAAGAAAGCAGAAGTAAACTAGCATTTACAGAACATATATAGTATGCAAAATAAAGTTTTTTAAAGTACATAAATGGAGACTCTACTTTCAGGAAATGTGGGGTTTGTGCAACAATGAAGAGAGGGATGTGTTTAGCTAAGTGGCAACTAGCCAATGTCTCACTTTGAATCAAAACTGTCACTGAAATGAGGCTTTCCAGGAAACAATAAGAATAAAAAAACTTAAGACTTCAAAGAAACATAGCTTAAGAAAAACTTCTGTGACAAATCCTCAAAATGCCAGCAAAGTAACAATAAATCATTTATCCAGCCTAGAATGTGAACCGTTTCTGGAGATGTCAATTATACCAGACCTCTATCCAAGTTGCAGGTTTGAACTACTTTTCTGATGTCAAATATTCGCCCCACTAAATAAATAAAATAAAATCAGTAAAAGCCATTATTTTGGTTTAAATCACATATCTAAAAACCATTATTTATCACTTGAACTGGCATTCTCAGTTTTACAAGAGAACTACAAGTCATTCCTATTAAACTTTCAATATAGTGTATCGCTTATTTGACAATCATTACCAAATATTTATGACCTATAATAGTTGGAAATGTATTGTGCATGGTGGTGGAATATTTCACAATGATCCAGTGGAATATTCACAAGGATCTTCTGGATTTCAAAAGATTACATTTAGAAACATATTCACATGTCTCTTGTGTTAATGTATCACAGAAGTTCTAAGAAAATCCAGTGTAACTAAAATATTTGTTTCATATAGCAGCAGACAGCAAACCACATAAATTATATCCAAAATGTACACCATGAAATTTTAACAGACAAACATCTTTATTCTTGAAGTGCCTAATTTGATAAAAATTCATAACTGGTAAAAATCAGGATTTAATCAAGGTATGAAAGACTATAAAATCTTTACTCACCTGCAGAGTGGTCAGTAGACAGCAATATTATTGGATAACCAAAAGAAACCAACAAAGGAAACACATTTCTTCTTTGTAAAAATACATACTAATTAGAGGATGAATAATAATAGTCTTGATCACTACAACACAAGTTCATTTTTTTTAAAAGAGTCCTGCTCTGTCACCCAGATTAGAGAGAGGAAACAAATTCATTCTTGAAGTATAATTTCCAACGCAAAATTATTCAAGACTGTAAAAGATCTTTGTAAGACTATAATTGCTATTACGTAATACCTTATGAAAATCAACAGGACTGCTGACCATGACATTAATAACAACATGCAGAATCCAAAATTCCTTAGCATATTACTCAAAGCCCTCAGTAATCTGGTCTCATTTTACCTTACTGATCTATATTTCCTGTTTATTCCTGGTCAGGCACACTTATTACAAAAATATGGTTTTTTTTTGTTTTTTTTTTTTTTTGAGACAGTCTCACTCTGTTGCCCAGGCTGGAGTGCAGTGGTGCAATCTTGGCTCACTGCAACCTCCATCTCCCGGGTTCAAGTGATTCTCCTGACTCAGCCTCTTGAGTAGCGAGGATTATAAGCAGGTATAATCACCACGCCCAGCTGTTTTTTTTTAATCTTTAGTAGAGACAGAGTTTCTCCACGTTGGTCAGGCTGATCTCGAACTCCTGACCTCATGATCCATTTGCGTTAGTCTTCAAAAGTGCTGGGACTATAGGTGTGAGCCACCATGCCCAGCCCATCATATGCTTTTCTTTCTCCATGCTTTTATTCATTCTATTCCCTTCTCCTGAAACAAATACTCTACCTCTTCATTTCAGCATTTCATCATACACTTCTTTCAAACCCCCTCATTTTAAATATCAACTCCTCCTTAAAGCCTTCTCATTTTCCTGAAGCAGCAATAATTGCTGAATTACCATAGCATATCTATAATTATTTCATAAAACATTTTATACATAACATTTTATTTAGTTGTGTATCTTTATGTTTTCTCTCCCCTACTTGACTAAATACCCTGCAAACCAATCACACTTGCTGAATGAAAATAATCAACTGATTGAGCCTAAAGAGATTAGACATCAGATTTACAGAAAGAAGCAAAGTCTTCCTACACACACCGCTGGGGGAGGGTGGGTGACAAAACACCTCGAGTTCCATACCTGCTTTTTTATTCCTGTTTAAGGGCTTTATTACATAGCAAACTGGGTTTTTTTTTCAGGAATAATTTATTTATATTCTTAAAATATCATATTTAATTGTCACAGAAATCCTGAGGCAGGCACGTGATACTAAGTCCACCATACAGCCAAGGAAATGAAATTCCAACAGGTGAAGTAAACCATACAACGTCATGACAGTGAGCAAAGTAGAAAAGCTGGTACTAAAGTCCAAGCTTTGTGATACTTGGTTTACTGTTTTTGTTTCACTATACCACCCTGTCTCTGGACAATCAAAAGAGCAAAAGGTCAAAACCTAAAATACAAAACAGAGTAGAAACAGGCACGCTAAAGAGCACAGAACCAATAATAATCTTTATAATCTCCTCTAGTTCTAAAAGTCCATATTTAAGGTACCGCTGTTGTTCTTCTCAACAGCAACGTAGAAAACGTGTTCCCAAGTCCACACTTTTCCATTTAAAATTCTTTCTGTAATAAAACCCATCTTTTCTACTTCTCTCCCAAACAAACCTTCAGCTCCAAACAGCTGCTTCCTGCTATGCCGCACACAGCATGTTTATTAATACCCAATGCTTTGTGCTCAGGGAGCTATCGCTTTCCTACCCACACTTGCCCCGTTTTTTGTTTTCACCGAACTGCCTTAATAACTGCAGCTCACAGATCCAGCCTAATACCCATAAAGTCAAATTCTGCGTTTTATTAGCGATAATGTGGTCTTCTTTCTCTATGGAAGTCAATACAAAATAGTGGTTAAGACCAGGGACTATGGAGCCAGAGGCCCTCCTCTCCTACTTACATGTTCGTTGGTTTGAAAGATTACTTGACTTCTCCATGCTTCAGTTTCCTGTCAATCAGCAGGAAATCACAGTAGAGTCTCTACCTCATAGTAATGATAAAATGAGTTCATACATAAAAAGTACTTTGAACAAAGCCTGACATGTAAATAGTGCTCCTGTATCAGTGTCTATCATTGTCATTTCTTCCAGTATCATGGTTTAATAGATCACCTCAGAACTATAAACTATCCCACACTGATGGACACATTGTTTTATATAGAAGTTATATTTTAGTCATATGCTTTTAAGTCTTTCCCCACAAAAGTTCAATTTATCAGGTTTTCTCTAGCATACTTCTTTTATAATGCACAAGAGTATATCCTAAAATTATATGTCTATAATATAGAAGATACAACTACGCTAATCATAGGGGATGTATAGATGTGGCTATCTGCTCCATTAAATCTGGAGTCTGCACTGATCCAATCGTTCCATTTAATCAAACACCACGCAAACTATTAAGAGCTCCCTCTGACTTTAACAGCCAATTTCCCAGAGAAAGAGCAACTCACCACTAAAAGATCTTAATAATACACAGGGCCTGGAGAGCACTGCCTTTTTTCTTTTTCTAAGTTAAAAAAAAAAAAAAAAAAAAAGCCTTTTCTTGTCAACAGAAATCAATGAAAAGCCTCTTGAACACAGCAAGAAGGTAGGGCTGATTTTAGCCACAATGTTAAGTCCCTGCAGAATTTCAGAGTGCCAACAATAGTGTCACTTTTCTCATTCATTGGATTCATTCGTGTTTCTTTCAGGACTACAATAATCTGTGCAACATTATTGGTTCCTCACCAGTATTACATTTTACATAACATAATTCACAAATTATAAAAAATCACTGTAAGGTCACAGCTGCTATTAATCCTGAAGAGAAATCATAAACATAAAGGAATAATTTAATTATGTCTAACAAGATCAATTTTACATTTCTAAAACCATGTTTGAATAGTTTAAGTATTCACGTAAAAAAGTAAAGGGGAAGAAATCTACACCAAAATTAAAGGATACACTGTTCAAAGATCTTCAATTTTCAACAATCTACAGAGGATGGAAACACTCACAAAAATAGATATTGATCTCAGTTCAAATTTTATATACCCAGCAATATATACAAATGCCAAGTAAAATAGCAAATTAGTCCCTAGCTAGTTAAGCGGAAAAGTAATTCACTTATACATTAATTTTCAATTAAGTTTTAGTTGGTGTGAGATAATCCCAGATTCACATGCAACTGTCAGAAATAATACCAAAAGATTCAGTGTACCCTTAATCCAGTTTTCTCAATCTTAACTCTTCCAAAACCAGAGTACAAAATCACAACCAGCATGCTGACACTGATACGGTAAAGATACAGACCATTCCCATTACCACAAAGATGCCTCATGTTCCCCTTTTATAGCTTCACCAACTTTCCTCCCACTTCCATCCCTCCTAAACCCTGACAACTACTAATTTTGCTATATCTTTGTCATTTCAAGAATGTTACATAAATGGAATCATACACTACATAATCTTTGGGATGTAATTTTTCACGGAGCATCATTTTCTGGAGATTTATCCAGGTTACTGTGTATCAAGAGTTTGTTCCTTTTGTTACCCAGTAGTATTACACTGTATGGATACACAGTTTGTTTAACCTTTCACCTGCTGAAGCAGATCTGGGCTGTTTCCAGCTTGGGCTTTTTACAAATAAAGCTGCTATAAACATTAATGTGTAGGTTTCTGCAAAAACATACATTTTCACTTCTCTGGGATAAACATCCAGGAGTACAACTGCTAGATGCAATGGTAGTTGGCGTGTTTTGTTTTTGAAGAAACCACCAAATTGCTTGTATGGACCCTCCAACAACATCCTCTCCAGCACTGGGTGTTGTCGCTAATTTTTCATTTTAGTCATTCTGTCAGGTGTGTAAAGATAGTTCACTGTAGTTTTAAATGGCATTTTGGTAAACACTAATGATGCTAGACATCCGTTTTCATACTTACATGCCATGTGTACATATATCTTCATGTCTTTTGCTCATTTTCTAATTGGACTATTCAGGTTTATTTTTTTAATACTGAGCTTTGAGAAATCTCTCTATATTCAAGATGCTGACACTCTGTCAGATATGTGGTCTGCAAGTACTTTCTCCCACTCTGTAACCTATCTTTTCATATTCTCACAGGGGTTTCTTGCAGAAAAACAACTTTAAATTTTGATCAAGTCCAACTTATCTTTTTACAGATTGTACTTTTGGTATTAGTTCCAAGAACTCTTGAGATCCCAAAGATTTTTTTTTTTTTTTTTTTTTTTGCCAAAAGTTTTATAGTTTACTTACTCCATTCAATCGGTGATTTGTTTTGAATTAATTTTTGTATAAAGTGTGAGACAGGTCAGAAGTCACTGTTTTGACTATGGATGTACAACTACTCCAATAGCAATGGTTGAAATGCTGTACGTAGTTTTTAGCATTAAACGTATCCTTTGTCACATTTAAACCTAAGGGGTTTTTTGAGCAATTATAAATGGTACTATATTTTTAATTTTGGTGTACATATGGTCATTGCTAGTATATAGAAATTCAATTGATTTTTGTGTGTTTATTTTGCTGTACCCTGTGACCTTGCTGAACTCACTCATTAGCTCTAGTTGGTTTTTTTGGGGGGTGGTAGGGGAGGAGTTAAAATAGATTCCTTGGGATTTTCCACGTTATCTGGAAACTGGGACAGTTTTCTTTCCTTCTGATCTGTATGCCTTTTATTTCTTTTTCAGACCTTACTGCACTGGCCAGAACTTTGGTATTATATTGAATAAAAATGGCAAGAGTGGACATTCTTGCACTGTTTCTGATCTTTGGGAGAAAATTGTTCAGTTTTTCGCCATTAAGAGTAATCTTAGCAGCTGGGTGCAGTGGGGCTCACGCCTGTAATCCCAACACTTTGGGAGGCCCAGGCAGGTGGATCAAGCAGTCAGGAGTTCGAGACCAGCCTGACAAAAATAGTGAAACCCTGTCTCTACCAAAAATACAAAAATTAGCCAGGAGTGGTGGCATACCCCTGTAATCCCAGCTACGCAGGAGGCTGAGTCAGGAGAATCGCTTGAACCTGGGAGGTGGAGGTTGCAGTGAGCCAAGATCACATCACTGCACTCCAGCCTGGGCGACAGAGCAAGACTCTGTCACCAAAAAAAAAAAAAAGTGAAAACAATACAATTTGACCTTGTCAATGAAAGTATGAGACTTTCCTATCCTGGGATGTTTCTGTTGCTTACCTTGAAAATCATTCCTTGGGACTGGGCACAGTGGCTCACACCTGTAATCCCAGCACCTTGGGAGGCCAAGGCAGGTGAATCATCTGAGGTCAGGAGTTTCAGGCCAGCCTGGCCAATATGCTCAAACCCTGACTCTACTAAAAATACAAAAATTAGCTGGGTGTGGTGGGGGTGCACCTCTAGTCCCAGCTACTCGGGAGGCTGAGGAAAGAGAATCGCTTAAACCCTAGAGCAGAGGTTGCAGTGAGCTGAGATCACGGCACTGTACTCCATCCTGGGTGACAGAGGGAGATTCTGTCTCAAAAAAAAAAAAAAAAAAAAAAAAAGAATAATCTTAGCTATAGGATTTCTGTAGCTGCTCTTTGTCAGGTTTTATAGATACAACTTTATCAAGTTTTT